CAGCTGATCCCTTCCCACGGCTCCCAGCTTCCCAACACCTCCCTCCACCAGGTCCTCCCGCTGAGCCCAGGCCTCGCGGAGTAGAGACAAGCCATCCCCTCAGTGCCCTGAGTTCCTGACCTGCAGCATCCATGAGCAAAATAAAATATGTTCTTGTCTTTCACTGCAGGATTAACCCTACCCCTAAGATGGGGTAGTTTGATATGCAGAAATACATGTACCATACTTTATTCATTGGGGTTGATCCTCATCTTTTGTTAATACAAACGAAGTTGCAATAAATAACTCTGTGCAGGTATTATATATATTCAAGGCAGATTCCTAGAAATGAGGATTACTGTGTGAAAGGGTAAATTCATATGAATTCTTTTTTAGCTATTGCCAAATTTCTCTGTAAACTTTATTTTTCTTCACATAGCTTTCTTTGTGTTTACAGTATATTTATATTTGTACTAGAGGCCCGGTGCATGAAAATCGTGCACTCAGGGGGTCCCTCAGCCCGGCCTGCACCCTCTAGCAGTCTGGGACCCCTCGGGGGATGTCCACCTGCTGGCTTAGGCTCGATCCTTGAGAAGCTGGGCTCTCTGCTCCTTAGCGCTGCCTCGGAGTCTCCCGCCACCGCTACTGCGCTTGTCAGCTGTGAGCCCAGCTTCTGGCTGAGCAGCACTCCCCCTATGGGAGCACACTGACCATCAGGGGGCAGTCCTGCATTGAGTGTCTGCCCCCTGGTGGTCAGTGCACATCATAACAACCGGTCGTTCTGGTTGTTCCACCATAAAGGTCTCTGGGCTTTTATATATAGACTAGAGGCCTGTTGCATGAAAAGATTCGTGCAATAGGCCTGGGTCCCAGGTGCCAGAGGATAACTGGTGCCACTCCGGCCGGAGCCACCTTCACAGCCCTCACTGCTCTGGCCGGAGCCACCTTCAGTCTTTGCTTCACCACTTCACGCTTACATATGCAAATTAACCACCATCTTTGCTGGTGGTAAATTTGCATATCTTGCTGATTAGCCAATGGGAGGCATAGCGAAGGTACGGTCAATTTCAATCTTTGTCTATTATTAGGTAAGATAGATAATCTTTGCTGCCCACATACAGAGAAACATACACAGAGAAACATGCACAAATAAAGGCACAACTTGCTGAATTCTTGCAAACAGAACTCGTGTGTGTCACCCTCAGGTGTGTCAAGAAACAAACACTCCTAGCACCTCACGGGCTGCCCTAGTCCCCCTTCCCAGGGAATACTCACGTCCGTGGTGTGAATGTATCACTGTTTATCCATTTTCCTCTTGACGTTCCCAGTTAGGGGCTCATGTGAGCTATAGTCCTCGGCTGCTGTATAGTCCGCAGGACCCGTTGCACAGATGCCAGGCTTGGAGCATCCTCCTTTACCTTTCTGTGGGTTATCGTTCTCAAACTAGGTTCCCGTGGAACCCTGGAGTCCTTTTCCAAACAGCAGGAAACGAATAAATGCATGGCTTGGCTTCTCTTCGTTTAAAATTTTCCCTAAAAATTTTGGGGTCCACTCCCAGGTGTCTGCTACCAAGTTTCGGCCATGACAAATTCAGGGGATATAATGGGGGGGGGGGGGGGGGGCCCGGAGGGAGAAGG